GTGTGTGTGTGTGTGTGTGTGTGTGTGTGTGTGTGTGTGTGTGTGGCTTTCCCACAGCCATTATTGCCCTAATTGGCAGTTTGGCATATTATACAGTTTGGCATATTATACAGTGAGTGTGTGTGAGAGAGAGAAAGTGCGTGTGTGTGTTGACAGCTGCTCTTTCCCATGGCTTGTGTTGCTCTCTTACTTTGGATCACTGCTTTCTCACGCCTGGTACCGTGACCCGGACCGTGCAGCACTGTAACATTTTGTGCTGTTTGGAGAAAGAACATCAAGGCRACAGCCGCCTGAATTGCTCTTTTTTTTTTCAACCGAAATTTTCTCATCTGTTTGCATCACTCGAATTCCCCGACACATGCTCCAAATACTTCGCTTTTGTCCACAGAAAACAACCATTTCATGCTCCGGATGTGCAACAAAAAGTGGAAGATTTTAATAGAGAAAAGCAAAAACGAACGAACAGGAGGATATTTGAGGCTAACCAGTAGATACTCAGTTCATTTCTTTAACAAGCAATCATTTTCTAACACATTAAGGCCAGTTTAGTCACAGTAAAATGATCAACCAGTTTATGAGCCYTACTTGACCCACTGAATCATGTACTGTAAAATGCAGACTAGTCTATAAATCTGCAGCCCTGAGCTCTGATCTGAACTGGAAGCTGGATGAAGTTCTCCTCATCATGTTGTGCTTTTTTTTAAACATCCACACAGGAAACGTTCACAGCTGGAATCAAACAAGCAGCTGCAGGTTTTTTTGCTTTAGAAGCAGTGATTTTTAAACCTAGCCGTGTGTGTGTTTCTAATATCTCCATTCAACTTTGGTTTGGACCATTGGTGCTGTTTGTTTTTATGACTTATTTCTTAGAACACGATGTAAATAGTCCTCTGAATGTGTAGAGCTGCAACCCACCCCCCTTTTTTAACCAACTAAATAAAAAGTACTAAACATGCTGTTTTTCCTTTCATGGTGACTTCAGTTACTGACACATTTTGCGTGATTTGGAAATGAAACATAAAGGGTAATATGCTGCAGAGTGTCAGACAAATGAATCAGGGACATTCAGTCATCACCAGAGGTCCCTGTAAAGAAAGAGATACTCAAAGCCCCTTCTGGCACAGCTTCACCTCATTTACAACTTTAATCCGTTAGAGAAAGCCTGCCCATGATGGAAAGTACCATTTAGGGATGAGCAGAGACTGTAGATTGAACTGCACTGCAGCAAAATGCTGCAATCAGCGTCAGGACTTGAATTTCTTGCTGCTCATTTTGCTGTAGTGCTTCAAGGAAAACACAAAACACCTCCTTTGTACCGTTCTATAGTGACGTACAGGAATTWGTACTTATTTAGTGATTCACAGTCACATGGAGGCCGTGCTTAAAAGCCTGAATTTTGCCTGAAACTCTCAGACTGAAGAAGTCTCTTGGAGYAGAGACGAAACGTTTCATTAGAGAAGAACCCGTCCAGAAGACCTATATAATTTTTTCTTTTTGCTTTTCAAATTATTAATTTGCTCTTTCTGCTCTGGTGGCTCTTTGAGAGTAACTCCATCCATATTTTCCTTTTTTAGCTGCATTTTTTCCTGAAACATCCAAAATTTTACTCCTCACTTTAAAAAAACATTTTTTTTCAGAGCTGTATACCTTTTCAGTTCTTGGCTGTGTCTATATTTAGTGTCTTGCACTAAACTGGTAAATGTGCTGATGTGAGCTGAATCACCCAGCAGGGTCTTTAAAGCTCTGCACCATCAAAACTTACTCTCTCTATTTTAAAGTTTATTTTACTTGGTGCAAAAATACTATAATGACACCTTGTAAGCTAACAAATTTTATCACATGAAATCAAATGAAACARGGAGTTTATCTAAGAATAAAGCAACTCTGTCTTTGAACAGGAAACTGACTGAATATGTTGAGAACCTCTTTGTGAAAGAAACAAGTGTCTACTTTGTGTGTCATAATTTCTGTTTGACCACTGAGTAAAATTCTGGTAATATTTAAATCCAGTAATTTATCTGATATCAGAGGTTTACAGACCCACAGACTTGAGGTAAATAAAACCTAATTCTTCATTTAGAAGCACAAATGTGACCCTTCACATCAAACTGTGAATTAGGTCACAAAATGGTATGTGGAGAAACAAGCAGCTATAGAACATTAAATATTAACAATGGCTGCATTTTGTCAAAATATAAAATGAATAAATGCATTATATATGGGTCGTTTAAAGTGAAAAACCTGAACTATACGTTAATATACTGAATGTTTCATTCTTTGAATCCTGTTTCTGCTCCAAAAAAAAAAAAAAAAAAAAAAAGTGATTTTGAGCAAAAAGTCTTTTTTTTGTTGTTTTCCTGCTAGCAAAGCGATTATTCTTTCCAGATGGTAAATTTCAATATCCAAATACAGTTTTGTCAGAGGTTTGCTCTTTAACGTTACATTAACAATTACTCATTAGATGAGAATGATCTAGGATTCAGKCCAAATATCAATGGGTTATCCCCATTGGCAACAAATTAAGACTTAATCCTAATATATTTTCTGAAAAATGTTAATAAAATGTTCCCTTTTTGTTACTTTTAGACCTATAAATTTTCTTTGGCTGAGGAATTTGGTACTTATATTGAGTTAAAATGAAAAGAATATAGCTATCAGGCTAACAAACTAGTTTAACATTGACAGTTAGCTTGTTTTTTTTTCAAGTAAATGTTTCAAAGAATTATATAGCAATAAAATTGATAAAGAATAAATAAATGTGTGCATAAGAACATAGTGGTTTATAGGGATTTCTGTTTTGGTTTTATGGCTCCTCTCACAGCTGGAGCTAATTTGTCAACCAACACACCTGTTTGTGATGGCCGCTTTAATTAATCCAGGATTCGGTTCATGTTACATCATTTTTTGTGTAACGTGTTCATTAGGTTTAGTTTTACTCACAGTGTACAGGTTCTGTAATTTCTCCAGCCCTTCTGTTTAGTTTGTTTCAATAAAACTTTGGATACCCCCACACCCCGAGTGAGTCGCTTACGTGTTTGAGTCCTTA